AAAGGTCCGGATATGCAGGGCTGCCGAATACTGCATTTGTATCTAAGCAGAAAATAAATAATTTGATGAGTCTAAGCAACTGGGATTACGAGCAAGTTGCTCGTAATCCCACTGCAACGATCCAAGACAACCATTATATATACGGTACCAATGGCCCGGTCCTAGGCTAGGACTCGTAGCATATGTTCTATCAGGTTCTACCCGTATGGGCTATAGGGTACATAAATCCAAGATGGTGAACATAGTAAATTACAGAATGTAATTTACGAGACGTTACGCGGCGTAACATCTCGTGATCAGAGGATTCGACACTAGGGTTGAGACATGGGCTGGGATAGCATCGGGACACGGAAGCGTTACTGGCAAGAACGTTAAAAGCTCTCCTCAGCCGTTCACCGATCAAGCCGCCTGGAGAATTGGATTGAATCACAAAAAGGAGAAGCAGGTTTTGCTATCCCTGAGAATCAAATTCTATGCTTGTGGCGGGACGGTCAATCTCTTACTGGTACTTTCGGAGATATTATTACTACTACTGTTGTCAATTACTGGTATTGATAAGATTGAATCTATAGTATAGATTCTACAGTGGACGGCTTGTATCCAGGTGTTCACGGGGATACAAGCCGTGATGTGCCAGGATGTGACGTTGCCATAATTTATACCTTTCTGGTCCTTTGGCACCTATCCCAGTGCTTTCTTTTGAAACATTGTTTATTGATACATAACACTGCACTCTGCGCTGTAAAGCGCAAACTTTTCCAGACGACCGAAAATTAAAGCACACTTCAAGCGGGTACAGTACTGCACCCTGTTTTGTCGCCCTCGGACCTTTGATAAACTACCGGACATAACGCTTCTTTTGCCAAATATCCTCGGTTTCTATGCTAAAACTGGATGTGCTTGCAATCCTATGATCTGCCCCCGCGACAACGGCCCGTTGTCAACGGGGTGCATTATTTGTACTATAGTACTATACAGGACTAAACATGTGACAGAAGTTGCTTATCCTTGTATTTGATCTAGACACAACTCGGCGAAGGGTCAAAAATTGCTAGCCTCTCACTTCTCAAAGAGCCTTCGACCACTCCAGTAGTCGTGATATTTGTCAAGTTCAAGAGCACAATGTCAGTTCATTGTTGCAAACTCTTTTTCGTTATCGCCGCTCTTCTCATCTACGCCAGTGTGGCATCAACAGCAAAGAATTTGAAGCCCCATGCTGCTTTTGATAATTCTTTTCGTATGCCTGATACGAATTTGCCTGCCAGTCGGCGTTTGAGGACGATAGCTGATGTCAACTATGGACAGGAAGATAGAGCTATCTTTGGTATTACCGGTACGAAGATAAAAGATTTTGGAGCGAAGAAACTGCAGAAATTAACAGAAGGTGTGCAGACAAAAGCCCAACAACGCAAGGTAGACCGTTGGATTGCCGAAAGAAAAACTGAGGATTGGGTTTTTAAGCTTCAACAACTCGATGAAGAAGGCACCAATATTCTGAAAAGTCCGAAGTTGAGTACGTGGATGGACTTCGTAATAAAACGGGGCAAGGATCCCTACGACTTCCTGCTATTCAAACTAAGGCGGCGCTATGACAATGACGAACTAGCGAAAATGCTTGTTCTGTCAAAGAACGACGCTAGTTCGAGAGCGATTGCCGAGAAATTGGAGACGCTGCAGCTTGAGAAATGGATGAAAGACGAAAAATCAATTATCGACGTGTTCCGGTTTCTCAAGTTGAACGAAGAAGGGCTTACTCTTCTCAAAAGTCCAGTGTTGAGCACTTGGGTTTCTTACGTGGAAAAACTGAAGAAGGATCCGTATGAGTTGCTGTTCTTGGCGATCAAGTCGACTGGCTTCGATGAAGCAAAACTAGCAAAGATGATTGGCTCTGTAAAGGACGACACTAATACCGCGTTTATTGCCAAGAAAATGGAGGAACTACAGCTCGAGAAATGGGTGACTGCTGAAAAGAGTGGCGATGATGTCTTCAAAAATATCGGACTCGACAAGGAAGGAGACAAATTATTTGAAAGCCCAGTGTGGAGCACTTGGGTCGCGTATCTGAACAAGCAGAGAGGTAACTCACATGAGGAAATGTTCTCAGTGCTGAGGAATCGACTGGGGGATGTTGGTTTGACAAATGCTTTTGCGAGGGCGAAAGGAGACGACAGTAAGCTTACCAAAGACATCGCAGCAAAACTGGAAATGGATATTTGGCGGATGAATGGACATACCTCAGACGACTTGTTTAAAATGCTCAAATTGAACGAGAAGGGCGACAAGGTTTTAGAAAGCCCGACATTTTCTACCTGGGCGGCTTATGTGCTCAAGTTGGAGAGTTACAGGAAGACTCCAGATGAATTTGCTACTATCAGACAGCTAGAGAGACACTACGACGATGCCACACTTGCACGAATGCTTGCCAATTCGAAACGCCGAGCTGACACTGCAAGCACAAAAGGATACATCGCAGATTTGCAAGAATTGCAATTCAAAAAGTGGGTGGTTGAGAGGACGAGTCCCAATGTTTTCGCACTATTGGTACGTAAGAAATTCTTGACCAGCGATAGGGTGAAGCGTGATTTCCGTGATTTCCTTAAGCGCAATGCCGATAAATTCGAGTCAAGTTAGGCAGTACGAAATATCGTAGAGTACAGCCACCATGCGGAAGTCCAATGGCGTTTGTATTTGAGCAGTACCGGTAGGTAGGTATTCATAGCCCAAAGCCTACTACATAGTTGTACTTCGTTGATTCAAGAAAAACACATTTTCGGCACGAGAACAACATGTTGATGCTAGGCGATTCAATTCTACATGTAGGGTCTTACGCTAACGTAAAGACAGTGTCGTTTGGTTTTCTTCATCAATCGCGTTAAAACTCGGATACAGGAACGCGAAACGCGAAAAAAAACCGTGGAGAAACGCCTATGGGCTCACACGTGTCTTCTCGCTACATAGCTTGGTCATTGCACTACCAGTACTAGTTCTTGGACAACACAGAGCATCCCGACTGCAATAGCGGAGGGCTTGACCTGCTGACCGGTATGTTTATTATGACCAAGTATAGATGCATCAAAAGATATTTGTTCTATGTAGAGCCCTATACGATTGGCGTGTAGAGGTAGCACGGTTATATAGTCATGCTCCAGATACGCACAAGCGCGTCATCGCTTGCGGAGGCGAGCAGAAGCGCCTTCTTGCCTTTGTCCTCTATCAGCTGTGGACACCACCGGACGCAGTTTATGTCACTTGCGTGGGCTTCTTTCTGATGGATTGCAAGGTCGAAAGAGGTAGGAGTATCGCTCGGTTGGCCTTGGAACACACGGATGGCATTGTCGGCCGCTCCAGTCGCCAAGTAGTGGCCATGCTTGGACCAGTCCACGCTGAAGATGGTGCGTTCGTGGCAGTTTGGCAGTGTAAACTTCTGCCTCCACTGCTTCGGGCTGCAAACATAGTAAGTGTTAGCTAGAATCACACTTATAAAGTGATTGTGATGACACACCTTCCGTCCTCATTAACTTCCTTGCTATTGGGGTCGTACTGCCAGATGACCACGTCTGTGTCGTCCGACACCGACGCCATCTCCGTTCCTTGGGAACTCAGCGCGACGCCCCACACCGTCGCCGTGTGGCCCGTCAACGTCTTCTTGCAGTACCAGTCGTCATCGTTCTCAGCCCAAACGCGGATGGTATCATCATAACTGGCCGACACGAGAAGGTCTTCCTTCGGGTGCCAGGCCACGAACTTAACGTCCTGCGTATGGCCGTGTAGCACCGAAATGCACTCAAAGTCTGTGTCGGCGTCCGCTTCCCAGATCCAGACGCTCTTGTCCCGACTGCATGTGGCCAGATAGGAACCCGAGGGGCTCCAGGCCACGCTCTTAACCTCGCTCTCGTGGCCTTCGAGACTCGAGATAACTTCGTATGAGCTGCCCTGTTTCTCCCAAATGACTGTCGTTCCGTCGAAGCTCACGGAAGCCAGGTAGCGGCCATCAGGCGACCTAAAATTGACAGCGAATTAGTTACTAGTACTACAGATTGCCTGCTTCATAACTCGACGCGCACCATTCACAGGCTCGAATGGTACGAGTCTGAGCGTCCTCGAGGATGCCCACACACTCCCAGACGCCGCTATTGTTGGCGGCCCAGAGGCGGATAGTGCGGTCTCCACTGCACGACGCCAGTAACTTGCCGTCAAAGCGCCAGGACACGTGCCACGCGCGCTCGCTGTGGCCCTCCAGTGCGCACACCTGCTCCAGCTGATTCATTTCGGTCAATTAGTCAAATGGTTTTGAGTCACTCAACTGCAACAGAAGGTTAAGTTGCAGCAACGACATAATGTTGCTTGAACCCCGCATTAAGCTGGAGTAAGACCAGTCACTAACTGGAGCGGGACGTTACGATGAGCGCCATGAAGATGGACTTCATCTGCAAGGAGATCCCTTCCTCCGCTGGACCACCTGCCATGTCCACTCCTGTCGAGCCCGAGGACGCCGGTGTGAGCGATAACGAAGACTCGGAGGACGAGCAATTGGAGCATGCTGCCTGGCAGGATGTGGACTTGAATCCGGCCGTAGAATTGGTGGCCAAGCTCGTGCGCGAGTCGCTAGATGCCGGCAAGACGTATAACAAAAGCATTACGGCCAAGACATCGCAGCTGCTTACGGGCTGCGATAGCCTATTACTGGAGATTAAGAGCCTGGCTGAGGCCCGCGCTGAATCCCGCCAGCGATCGGACAAAGGCCCAGGCCAGGGTGGCGCCGGCTGCTCCTGCGGCCAAGCGATGGCCATGCTGCCGCTGCGCAACCCGGCCGAGCCGCTCGCCGGCTCGGCCGACGCGACGGCCAAGAAGCAGAACACACCCAAGGTGGACGAGGCCACCGAAGAGCAGACGGATCGCGCGCTGGCCAAAATGGAGGCGTCCATGGTCCGCCTTAGGGAGATGGCCGAGATCATCCAGGCCACCAGCATGCAAGGAGAGGCCAACTTGGTGTCCAAAGTGTCGTTGCAAACGGGTACGTTCCAGGCTCTGGAGGCGGCGGTGCAGGCCAGTGCTGCGGCTGCGACGGCCACAGCTATCGCTCAGGAACGTGGCCGATCGTCTTCGGCCTTCGGCCGGCTGTACATGCCACTGCAGGTGCAGAAACTTCAAGAATGGTACTATTCGTACCCGCGCCCACTACTCGACGAGCTCACGCTCATGCGCACGATTCTGAACTACCGACCGTACGCGAATCCGTTCCAGGTAGGCGGTCTTTCGCTGGCCCACGTGCGCGATTGGTTCAAGCGCCGTCGCTTCCGTGAGCGGATGCGTTATGTAAAGCTCGCAGTGGAGGCGGGCCACGACGCTCAAGCTGCGGAGGAGGAGATCGATCTGCGATTGGAGCAGAGGATTGCGCAGTTGCGGGCCTCAGTGGACCCGAACGAGCTGGTCAAGGAAGTAGACCGTGTACGCGCCCAAAGTTATCTGTTTGATGCGGCTGCGAATGCTTTCACTCGGCCGAACAATATCCGATCTTATATCGCGGCTTCCTACTCCGTGCCGACGACTGCTGACCAACAGGGAAGCAATGTTAGTGGCCGTGGAAAGCGACAGCGGACGCAGGACTCAGACCTTGATGATATTTCCATGGTGAAACACGCCACGGTACTGGAAGTGATGGCACTTCAAAACCGATTGCGCAGCCTGATTGACCAGCCAAAGACGACCGTCGTTACGAACGGGCTGCAGCAAGTGGTCGATCTGTTGCGTGCTATGAAAGTTGAGCCTGATGTGCGTATTCAATCGGGCCTGGTGGCCGATCTCAAGCAGATTTTGAAGATGTACACGAAGCCAACTCTGCTGCGCAAAGCCACAATCGCACTCTTGGAGAATTTGGGGATGAACCGCCGTGCTGTATTGGAGCAGGACGCTGATGACGACGCTCCGCTATCCGCACCAGCAAGCCCAGCGCTGAGTACAGCGTCGAGTGTACGTGGAAGAACAACGACGAAGTTGAATGCTTTGGAGAGTGGCAATGCGGCGTTCGACGACGATTCTTCCCTGCTTTTGTCTGGCGAGCCACCAAACAAGAAGGCCAAGCCAGCTGCACGACCAGCCAAGCCTCGTGCGAAGGAGAAAAAGGGGCGAGTTTTGCGCCCCATGAAGTTCTCGATGGACCAGCTCACGGCGCTTGAGGCGTGGTTCCAGCAAAAGTATAAACCATCACAGGAAGAAATGGAGAGCTATCTGGTGCAGCTGAATACCCCACCGCTACGCGACCTGAAGAAGCAGACGGTGGACGTGAATATGACGCAGCTGCGTCGATGGTTCAATAAGCGGCGGTGTCTGCGTCGTCCTCCGTTTGCGCTGATGACGCAGCAAGAGGCGGCCAAGGAAGGATCGAAAAACCCAGCGGTTCTGAAGGCTGTGTCGGCTCCAAGCAATGGTGTAGAGTCCATGGAAAGTGTACAAGGTGCTGACGATGTCGAAGATGCGAGCTCCGAGCTCGAAGGACAGCGGAGGACACCCGAAGGACGCCTCTCATATGATACTAATGATGACGACGACGATGATGATTCGAGCGACAACGATAGCAGTGACGATGATTCGAGCGACAACGACGATGCCGATGATGATAGCAGTGACGATGGAGAACATCTTATCGGCGCAGCACTGGCCTAATTGTTGTCGGTGTCGCTGTCAGTGGTATCCCCCGCAACTTCTGAGGGCAGCAAGTTGTTGATTGCTATTTAGCGAGTCCTGATGTCCGAATAGTGCAAAGCAGCTCTCATTAAGTCTAAAACGATCCTCTCTCACCCTTATTACCTCTGGTTTTGCAACAACCTAAAGGACTGCCTAGCAGCAGATCGTACATGCATGTCTAGTTGCTAGCTTCACGTTGTTTTGCTGATCCTGATGGAGATACTCGAATGGTTTACTCAGCAGAGGCGTGAGTAGCTATTTCGAAAGACTCGTCTTCTTCTGATGCAGCATTGACTGCTGGAGCAGCACTATCTATCGTCCAGCAATTCATGAGATTCAGGAGGCGGAAGGCCGCTACTTCCGTCAAATCTCGGATCCTGGACGTCGTACGTGTCAAATGCGGTGAGGTCTGTATGAGATGTTTCTTCAGTTGGATCGGTAGAGTCTACAATTTTGCAGCGCCATCATTGACGGTTAATTGTTAATCAATGATCAAGGTTAAAAGTCGACTTACCTACTTGACCTGGATAGTCAGCTCCTTGAGAATCATTATCGACAACACCTTGAGCATCGATCCCACCAGATTCACTCTCGAAAGTCACTGCTTCAGGCCGTTCGGTTGCGCCTCCCGAATCAGTAGCTTGCTCTGTGTACACTGTTGGTAGGGGGTTTTCAGCATGTTCATTTAGTGAACTTACACCGACAGCATCAGTCTCAGTATCCATACGCTCCGTGCTCTGTGCAAACTCGTCTTGCTCGTAAAGAAATTCGTCGTTTTCGGGTTCACTAGCTACTGTCGACTCAGGTGGTGCTTCATTCATCGCCACAGCAACTGGTTCAGAATTTTGCGCCTCAACATGAATGTATTCATTGTCATTGTGTTCCCGGGTCTCCACATCAGTTGCTTCTGCCTCGTGCGGTGTTTCTACTGGTAACTCACTTGTCTGTTCCTGATCGTCTGCACCAAATGTAGGGTAGTCGTACTCGGTGTCTGGGGTCATGCTAGCATAACCTGTAGTCTCAATTTCAGCATCGAGCGGATCGCTCTTATTCTGCTGATCTAACACATCTTCGGGGGACATGTCAATATTTGGTTTATCCACTTGGTCTACATGCTCATCACTTTGAAACTCTAAGGGATTACCTTCACCTCCATCGTTTTTGTCGATCTGTGTAGTGTTTTGCAACTCAGTTCCGTCAAAAGTGAGTTTGTTTCCATCAAGAAGCACTTCAGTATCGTTTGGTGCTTGTTCGTATGCGTCAGTCGCGACGAGCTCAATTGGTCTATGATTTCTTGCATTTTCATCGATAAACACATGATCTTGGTCAGCGAGATTAACATCACTTTTGGGTGACACGTCTCGTTGAAGCGTATTAACTGTGGGTAGCTTGTCTGCCGGGGTAGTATCATCATGGAGCTGAGTGTCCCGGATTTCTTCAACATTTTGTGGAGGAGAAGAGATATTGTTGCCCTCCTTTTCATCAGCTCTATCGATAGGTCCAATTACTTGGAATTGCTCGAGTGCATTCTGAAGTGTTACCTCTTGCGTTATGGGTGGTTCTGTTCCGCTCGCAAATTCCAATATCCATTTTGTGAACTCAGACTTGGTGATACTTTGTGAAGATCCCTTGTTCAACTCACGATATGCTTGCAACGTGACTGTCTCCAGTTCTTCATCTGAGGGAATAGTACCCACACCAGCCATCACGCAGAATCCCCGCGCGCAGCACAATAACGAAATCGTCTACCGCACATGCAAAATAAATTGAGTACTGTTCACGCGAACAAATACGAAGAAGTAGTATTTCGTACCATTTCATCCATCGATATTTGCTCCGTACCATCGAAATCCAATGCGTCGAAGATAACTGCAAAGCAATTGTTAGCATTCTTGGTACATACTTACGTATGGATATTCACGCTTTCAAGCATTACTTCCAGCCTTTTCTAGCGCAGGTCCAGAGCTTACAAGACACGCCCCGCATATAAATGCTAGAGCATTGATACTAGTCATCACACAAACTCGACAATTCATTAGCATAATAACCGATTATGACCGGATACCTCAAGTGCAACGTACATTCCGGTGCGGCTTTGGAAGGCATCAATAATGCGTTCAGCCCACTCCCTGTCACCCCCCACCAAACCGGCAAGCCCCTGTGAGTCCAAACCGAAGTCCATATCCTTGTCCTTGTATGTCTGCAACAACCCTCGAGAGGCCTTGAGGTCCCCTGGTACATCAAATTCGTCAGTGATCCAGGTCACTGTTCGACCTGTTTACTTCTTTTGCTCGTACATGTTGCCAGACGCTCGAATGCCGGCGCTAAAGGCGACGCCTTGGACGCTGAAGTGCCCATGGCTGGCGAAATTAATCTCTAATAGTTTCGAAGAGGCGGAACTGTAGAAGTTGATTTCATGGTCGTCGTTTCAACACGGTATTCACATGTCAACACGGTAATTTATATATCAACATTTGTAAGAAAAACATACAAGCCCATTTTTCTGTAATATAAAGCAATAAAGGTCCGTAATTGTATTAGTTACCATTGGTAACTTACCAAAACATATTACCCAAAATTGAATAAAATTCAAAATTATTTGTCAATTTCAACATTTGCAATTATTTTAAACAGTTTCCTTTGTGTAAAATATAGTTTTCAACGTTCTATCGCTCAAATATGACGATCAGTAACAAGGAGCTGGACGCCAAGCTGCGCGCATTGCAGGCCAAGACGCTGGTGGAGGAAGGAGACTGGGCGGAGCAAGGCCGCAAGCTCTTCGAGTTCGAAGAGAAGTTCCTGCGTGACACGTTGTTGGAGGGCAACATCCTTACGGGCTGGGGTGAGCCGCGAACTGCACCCGTGCGATTCCGCAACGCCGGAGTGCGCAAGCGCAAGCGTGAGCGACAGGAGGCGGCAGCCGAGCGTGCTGGCAAACCTCTTGGTTCCTTGGCACCCACGCTGTCGGCTGAGGAGCAGCTCAAAGTGGACCGCCACCGCCTGGCGTCCTACTCGTCTGTTTATTCGCCTGCGGAGGCACTGCACGCGACGATGGAGGAGCGCGAACGTAAGTTGGTGGAGAACAGGAGCAAGAAGAAAAAGCTACAGCCAGTAGCGGCGACTGTGGCTAAGTAAAGACGAAATTCTAACTGCCTAACTACCAAAATGTATTCAATGGGGTTGTATGCATTGCAAGTAACGACGCAAGCGACTTGACTGACCTGTTGACGTCGAGAAGGTGATGTACGACGTTCGCAGGTGAAGTCTTGTTGCTGTTCTGTTTACATGGCAGCGCTTGGCATCGTCCCTGGGTGGCTTTTAGCAGGTGAAGAACATGAGGGCTTCGCCCGCCACCATCATGGCTAGCGAGAACAGCATGAAGGTGCCGTACGTGATGTTAAGCCAGTGGCACACGAGGCTAATCACTGTGAATGCCCACGACGTCACCTTAAACGTGATCGCCCATGCGAGGTAGTGGTAGAACATGTTCTTGAGGATGAAACTGGTGCTCACTCGGGTGCCAATGTAGTCCGGAACATCCTCGGTAAACGCCTTCAGGTAAATGCGACGCAGCGCCAACCGGTTCTGGTTGCGGTTCAGATTCGGGTCCGACTTGTACTCTGGCAGATAACGCACCAACGTCTGCATACAAAAAGCAACGTCAATAACGCAGCATAAGCATTCATCAACCTCTGTGTGCAACTTACGTGTCCGGGGATGCTAAACAGACGTCCAGGAGGCCAGAGCTCGTACGCACCGAACACGATGGAGGGCACCACGTTCTTCTTCGTGTCCTCACTTAAGTAGAATGGCCCCTTCTTGAATTCCTGCAGCTGTAAATTGCATACAATGGCGTTAAATTCTCAATAAAAAAGGTGAATCGAGCACATTGCATCGCTTACCAGTCCGTCCTTCGAACGCGTGCCTTCGGGCGAGATGCAAACGGAGTTACCACGCTCGTTTACCGACACTGCCAGCTCCTTCAAACTCTTCAGCGCCGATTTGCTATAATAAAAACACAAGTCACAAAAGCCATTAGCGTCCCCAAAATCTCAAGTACTAACCACATAGCGAGCGTACCGATGCGAGCGGTCAATGGCCACAAAGTCAAAGCCCCAACGAGCCGACCAGCCGAGGAAAGGCACCAGAAAAATGCTTTTCTTGGCCGCAAACTTGAAGGCAACTGGCGACGATCCGTTGACAATGAAGCCGTCGAGGTTGGACGAGTGGCTGTGCAGCAGCAAAAGTATCCAAGTTAGTCACTTCCTCTAGACTTTATCTGATATTTACTTCCTTACCTGAACATGCAGACAACCGAGTCCTTAAGGTCAATCAGGTTCTCAACGCCCTCAACTTTCATGTCAGTGCAGGCTGTGACGCAGACCATGGCGGCAGTGCCCCAGGACACGATATCCATAGGCAGGTAGTTCTTCTTGACGCCCATCTTCTTGAGTATCGGGTTGAGCCACTTGAGTGGAATGAGAATAGTCACGCAGCTCAGCCAGCCCACAAGCACCAGCGCCATTGTGAGCATGCGCACGACCATGTAGATCTTCTCCAAGGGAGAGGAACTGGCCGGCAGTACGTCCAGTTTGAGCTGCTTACGCACTGCATCCAGCTTCTCATTGGCCTCCTTCATTTCCGGAGCAGTAAGCCATTGATTCTCGATACCCATTTCGTTCATACGCTCCTCCAGCTCGATGCGGATGAGCTCACTGTCATGGTAAAGTTTGCGTTTGGTCTGGTTGCGCTTGGCTAAAGAGCCCTCCTTAGCCAGCGCCAACGTGGCTGGCAAACGCGCCTCAATATCGGCGAGTCGCTTTTCGAAGCGCACGTCCTGCAGCACCTGCGCGGGCGTGGCGGTCATGGCGGGGGAATAGCTGCTGATACCTCGAGGTCTCTGATAGTGATGACTCGACCAGATACCGCTTTTCGACAGCGTCACTGAGCCGATTCGTGATTGGCAGAAAAATGATCGATGACAACGACGAGCGTACCAAAACTATGGTACAAATGCATGTCAACGAGTATTGCGTGCAAGTTGCACTGCAACATGATACATTCATACGTACGATATCTGCATAAACTCTCTATATATTTGAGAGCTCTATCGTTGTTTCTCTACTTGTTGGCAACAGCATCTTGAAGCATGAGGAGACAGTATGCGTCCAATGCAGCGTATCCCACCTGCTGAGGTGTCAGCGGACGTCGCTCCCAGTCGCTTTTCTGTTGCAGCTTCGAAAGAGGGTACTCAAGTGCCTGCTTGATGTAAGTACTGAGTCCCTTCTGTCTACGGCGGCGGCGCTGGAGCATTTCCGATGACGAGGCTTCGTCGCTGTGAGTTGGGATGACAGTCCCGTCAGCCGGATGCGTCGTTGCCACTAGCGTTTCAAACGAGAAGTCCAGCACGTTGACAAACTTATCAAAGCACTTGGCTTCCGGGAATGACCAGCGCAGTCGCTTGATGTCGCCGTCGATGGCAAAGCCGATCTTAACGATATTCTCCGAGGTGAACAAGTGCTCAAAAAGTTCTTCCAAGTCACCGATTGCCATCTCCACGAAGTCAAAGATGAACACGTAGTCGTCGCAAGCGACTTGCAAGATCGAGCACTTCGACGGCACTGCAGCTCTGCTATCTGGACGCCACTCAGCGTCGAGCCCTAGCCGAGTCACACAGTCTCGCATCAACAGATCCGTGGCTAACGACAAGGCCTCATCGCTGTCTACCACCACGATGTGATCCTGAGCAAGCGGGATCTTCAGATACGCTGTTTCATCTGTAGGAGTAGCGGACGCGTCAGCATACACGGGTTTTGGCATTGCAGCGCGAGCCTGCATCATGTAGGGCATGAATTCAGCCTCGTGTTCCAGCTTGAACTCTCGAATAGCCTTGTACGTATACCGAAAACTGGACGAATCATCTTCCTCCTCCTCCGCGGCAGCGTTCTCCAACTCGATCACTTCTCGAACGAATTGACGACGCATTTCCACCGAAGTGTCGATATCCGACTTGAAGAACATGAGCACATTGCTCACTCCGTTGAACACAAACATCTCGGCGAATTTCGGTCCAAGATACGCCGCCGTCGCTGCATCGTACAGTTCCGGTCGACGCATCAAGAACCCCATGGTCTTATCAACGCTATCCGTTTCCAAAGCATCCTGACAAAACGCCAATAGTTCCGTGCGATGCGAGCGATGCAGATACACGACATCATCCAACTCTTTCACAATGTGCACCGACAAGAGCGACAGCTGGCTCACGCAGTACTCAGCGTGTCGTTCCTCCATCGGCAGCTCGTCTGTTACCACCACTAGTAGCTGCTTGGCCAACTTGCCTAGCGTTCGGAACGTCAAGTCCAGAAAGCGTAGTGACACGACCGACCGGAGTAGAAAGAGACACGGGTCAGGAGTTATCATAAGCGCGTCTCGAATGGACTGCTCGGCAGCAGCCTTGGAGTCCTTGTCTCGACTAGTCGTAAGGACTTGCATCGCATGCTGCGAAAACATCAACGGAGAGCACGATAAGTTCGACTTCGAGCACCAATACCTGAAGCTCGCTGAATCTCGATCCGGCCCAGTAATAAGTGTGATATCCTTTTCAGCTTCCAGAGATTCACGATCCTTAAAGACTTCCTCAAAGATGGCGCGACGTGCGTACAGCGTCTTCATTGCAACTTTGCGAGACGATTCGTCAAACGTGTTCCCGCGACGAGTGTACTTAAAGTAAAACTCGCGAAGCATCGAGTCGTACACTGGCACAGGCATTATTAGCGCGGCTTCTTGAAAATGCTGCAGCATTGTTTGAGCTTCTGACACAGTATCATGCTGGATACAACACATGAACAACGCAATTTCCGTGGTAGCGGAACGTTGGTAGCCGTGCTTCAACATAGCTCGAAGTGCCTCCTCTGCTCCAGTCGAGTTGTTCTTGTAGGCGCAAGATTTCACCAGTTCCTCCAGAAAGCTTTGCCTTTTCGCCTTCACGCCAGACGCACCCACAGGAAGTTCGTGCACCAAAATGTTAAGTCCCTCCAAATGACGGTATCCATGCATACGTGCTACTTCGACGCCCATCCGCTGTGTAAACACGATCTTGTCTTCGTGCGCTAGAGCAATCAACTCGGCAATGTGGTCGCAATTTGTTAGCAAATATGCCCCGCGGACAAATTTTCGGTACAACGGCAACTCCCGCGTGATCTCCGGTAGATCTTCGATTTCTTGGACAATTTGCCAAGCAAGAGGCTCATCACCGCAGCACATGTACGCGTCAACGATAGAAACGTAGGTCTTGGACGTAGGCTTAAGGTGAGGTTGAGGTGGGATTGGCTCGCCTTCGTCTTCGCTGGCTGGCTGCCACCCTTTTGTTGCGAGATCGCGCATCGCCTGGACAATTACCGATACATCCTCTTTCCACTTCCGTTTCCTGCACTGATGAATGAGCGTCTCGAAGTCATTGCTGAATAAATCCAATAAATAACGTTAGCAATATAAGAAAACAGTCAGGTACAGTTTGTTCTTACACAGTCACGATAGAGCCGCTCTGAATACGCGCAATGAGTCGGTTAATGTCGTGGTGAACCACAGCTTTCCGAACAGATTGTGATGTCTGGTGTCCCAGACACCCAAGCGTCTTCGTGCCATCAGCAGCAGACGTTCCCTCTTCCATCTGCAAGTTCACAACCCGATCTCGTTCGTCCGAGGTCAACACTCCCTTCCCAACCCAGTCATCAAGAACCGGTTCCAAGCCATCGTAGTCCAGTAACTTAGCAACCTGACCGACTGTATGGAAGAACCGATCATCTGACCGGAGCTTCGGTGAGTGCGTTGCAATCTCCTTCAACACCTTCGTCGCTACGACTCGATCCTTCCTACGCGCACAAGTCTCCAATGCCTCCAGAAACAATGCCTCGTCAAAAGCTCCATCTTCTCGAGCATGAGTCAGAAACTCAAGGCACTGTTGTACTCCAACTCCATCACCCAAACCAACGGCACGAATCAATGTCGTGTATGTCACCACGTTCGGCTTGGACGTCGACAGCCGCATCTCCTCGTATTTCTACCATGAATTACACCAGAACTTATTAGTCTCGCAAAAACACACTCAGGAATTGCTTTTAAAACTTACCTCAATTGCAGCAGGTAAGTCTCCGTTCCGAGCAATGACGTCGATTAGTGCCGTGTACGTGAACACATCGGGCTGGTAGCCGTGCACCTCTAGCAGGTCGAAAGCTCGCTGGGCTTCCTTCACACTGCCAGCCCGTTGACTGGCCGTGACTATTGTGTTGAGTGCATAGCTCGGCTGTAGCATTGGAAGTTTGGGAATGTTGCGAGATATGTCACCCTGTGTAGCCAGCAGCACCAACCACTCCACGAATGCAAAAGCGCGCTCGATAGCTTCGTCCTCGCGGCTCCCGTCCTTGTGCAACCCGGTTTTCATCCAGCGGAAAATCGGGCGCAGGAATACGCGCGTTTCCCAAGAGGAATAATCATCGCCAGCGTCTAGCAACTTGCGCACCAACGGCCCGCAGACCTCGTCCTCTTCCCAGCGAATCTCCATCACTTTTGAACCCAAACATGAAAAAGGCACCTTCGAACAATTGTGTGTGGCAAACATAAAATAGGGCTAAGTTGAAGTGAAAAAAAGGCAACGTGGCATGTAAATGTATGTGGGAGCAACAGCAACGTGCAGTAGCTCCCAATATACACACGATATCATTTGAGTAAATCTTGAGTCTTGAGAAGTAATGTTGTCTTCGCGACAGTATTTACCAGTCATCATCTTCATCGTCGTCATCCGAGTTGTTGACTTTAATTTCTCCATCTAATGGTTGATCGGCCGAGTTTGGTTGGGAATCCGAAGGTTGTGACGAAGGGCTTCTCTGTGTTAGCTCTGCCACGTCAAAATTGTCGGAGTGGCGAGGCATTGATGGTGGGTCGAACACCGTTCCCGGCGCGAATCGAACACTAACTGCTTTCTTCGGCTTTGGGGATGCTGGTGATTCTTCACTATTTGATTTTCCTTCTGGTGTCGATGATGTGGACGTCCTACGTAGGAAAGAGATAGAACGCACATTATTTCACCCTTTACACTCGGAGAAATATTTGTTGCAGCCAACGTACCTGTTCTTCGCATTCTGCTTCGTAATCAAGCTAACAAGACGCGAGCTAGCATCCAAAACCTCCCTACGCTCTTGTGAACGGCTCAAATCCGCGGATGACTCGTCGTTGGTCGTCTTTTTGAGCAATTTGCTCCACTGCCATTTGCCCAGCCCATTTTCTTGGTCTTGGTTGTTAGTTGACGCGGCACCTTTCCCTCGTTTGCTCTTCTTTTTCGTAGTAGTGGTCGCCGCCGCAGGATCTATTCGTACGGGTGGATTTCGATGAATCACTTGTCGCTGTGAGAGGAACGTCAACTCCGCCGAGGTGTCACGGACCGTGCTGTGCTGCAGTAATTGCCGTGCTGCCTGTTCGCTTCTGGATGCTTGGTTGTCGTCATAATCGTCGTTGTCACTTTCCTGCTGGGACTCGATTTCTTTTGCTTTGTTAAATATCTCAACCGGATCCTCGATGGTCGAACTATTTGAATGTTTCTTCGCAACAAACACTCGTCGGACATTTCGCGGTGTGATGTTAAGGTAGCTCTTTCGTCTACCTGTCACTGGTGCGTCAGTGGGAGTAAATACTGACACCTTGTACAACTGAACACCCACACCAGCAACGAGCGCTGGCCCTAGTTGCTCAACAAGTTCCCGATGGAAATAACCCTCCACTTCTTCTCCAGTCGGATCCTGCAGCAAATCAACTAGTTAATGCTAACCCACTAATGATACCACCAAGCAGTATTTAACTTTACATGGAGAACAGCCACGATCTCTTCTTCAACATAGCGCACAGACTTGATCAGCACTAAGAGCTGCATTCATGTACATATATTTCGGTGATAAGAACAAAAGTATCGGCAAATAGTATCACAAAGCCGTTTACCTGAGGAATCTTTGTAAGTGCTTCATCACTCTCCACGATTTTCCCAACTGTGCACTTCAAACTGCCAATCCTGATGCTGCCTACAACATCAAACACTCTTCGCACTTATCCTCTCAGCGCTAGAAGCGACAAAGATTCCTAGTCTTACCGTAGAGTGTCCCTGATACAGCGGGCATGCCCAGATACTGGCACATGTCCACCCACGGGCCTTGGTCGAACACCGTTGCGATCGTAACCGAGTACCGATCCGAGTTGGCGCTGGCAATGCGACTGTGGTCTCCCTGTGAGCTGTCCATCCTGCCATCGACCGTCAATACGTAGCTCCAGTTATTGCAATAGCTGTCAGTACAGCACGCACTGGTCCGCGCGCTTCTTCATGACATCCTGCAGTGGCCCCGGTACGTGGCGCATCCACTTGAGAATGCTCTGCTGGGATCCCAGCTCTGTTAGCCATCCAGTCTCTAGCAGTTAGCCACGCAATTCTACGGATGGTTCACAGAGGATGCAACCAACACACCCTCCTCCTCTTCATTGCGCCGCCGTTTGCCAGCTAGAGTGACGCCGCCCGCCGCCATGTCTTCATCCTCGCTGCCACTCATGTCGTGAGGTGCTAACAATTTGAAGCACAACAACGAAAAGAAGACTGCATACAAAACTCTAGTATAACAGGACTTGTCGAAGGTGGCGAGGACGTAATTGACAATCAAGTCTGAAAAACGGAGTTGCCCGAGATGACACTCCAAACGAACAGGACATCATGGTCACCAAGGAGATACCGACATGGTGCGTCCTGTAGCAATTTTACTGGTGGATGCACTTTGCAAACATATCCGGCATTTACAGCCAGAGTGCGTAGTAGCTTGTACTATGTGAACCTCATTCATTAAATCAAAACGTCGCGACAGGTATCTGCTTGACCTTCTCTCCTCCTACGATACTAGCGTAATTAAAACAGCGGCATGACGTTGCGGTGGAAGAAGACGGTGAGACCCAGCAGCATAATGAACACCTGAAACCACAGGAAGGGCGACATCTTGATTTCCCTTCGCATCTGCATCTTGGCCACGCGTAGCTCCTCTGCTTCCTTGGCCAGACATGCAACACACGTGGGTGTGACACCGACAGGCACCGACAGGCGGTCCACCGGCGCGTCGCACTTCTTGCAGCTCGCCATCTTCGTCACCTTGCCACTTGCGATGTCTGCCTCGAGCTGTGCGCGCTTCTCCTTCTCCTCCTTCTCGCGGCGGGCAGCCACGATCTGCGGGCCGCGGATCAGGTTCAGGTACAGGAACAGCAGCGAGTTCATGACTGGTGGCAGGCAGCGGGGCGGTGAACTACAGCTCTTGAATGCTTTCTGGTCGATTGCCAACTGAGACTTGTGAATGAAGAGAGTGTCGACGAATCGCACTTAATCTAGGGTCATATATTAACCAGTATGTTTGAGGAGATGGGCTCAACTAGTGAAGTGAGACTGTATCTCTTTTGAACTTTTCAAAACACCGCCACTCGAACTCGAGCATGACGGAGCCGGGATTACTTCAAGAGACCAGGCACCAGTGAGATGGAGAACTCGTTGTGCCGGTTCAAGGCACGTCGCACATGCCGATGGTGCCGGCGGCATGTGAGGAGATCGTTAAAAGTAATGACTGACACCGATAGCTCGTCGTACAGTAGTGCCGGAAGTCAGCCACAGCTCGCAGACGAATCTCAGTGCTGTGGCATCAAGTTAATGGCAGCGAGGCCGCCGTTAAACGCTGCTGGATGCAAAAACTGGCGTAAGCTTATCGGGCTCTGTTTGTTGCTTGCCCGGTATC